AGCATGCCCTTGAGGGGCTGGAGCGTGGCCAGAGAAGGGCAACGGAGCTGCTGGGGAAGGGTCTAGAGCCCAAGTGTGGGGAGGAGCAGCTGAGGGAGCTGGGGGTGCTGAGCCTGGAGCAAAGGAGGCTCAGGGGAGACCTTCTGGCTCTGCACAGCTCCTGACAGGAGCCTGGAGCCAGGGGGGGGTCGGGCTCTTCTGTCAAATAACCAACAACAGGATGAGAGGCACTGGGTGAAGTTGCCCCAGGGGAGGTTTTGGTTGGATCTGAGGCAGAATTTCTCTCCTGGCAGAGTGGTGAGACCTTGGCCCAGGCTGCCCAGGGAGCTGCTGGAGTCCCCAGCTCTGGAGGGGTTCAAAAAACACGTGGACGTGGCCCTTGGGGACATGGTCTAGTGCCCATGGTGGTGTTGGGTTGATGGTTGGACTCGATGATCTTAGAGGTCTCTCCCAACCTTCCCAACTCCATGACTCTACAGCTTTGGAGGAGACCAAGCTTTCAGCTCTGCCTCCCAGGACACAGCTTGGTGGTTCTGGTCTCTAGTGCTTCTCTCAGCTTGTCTTCTGCAAAACCCTGTCCAGACCCAGCCTCCAAGGACTCTCCAGCCTGAGTCAGCTGCAGGCTCCTGCAGCAGGGTGGGGAGCAGCTCAGTGACCTGCAGCTGCTCTTCTGAGCCCTTGGCTTCAGTTCCTCTCTGGCACCAGAGAAAGGAGAAGTTCTTGCTCCAATTCCTGTCTCCTGCTGGAAAGAACAGTGAGCTCTCTGCTCATCTGCCATGCCATGGCCTCCTCAGAGCCCACAGCTGGCTGTGCCTCCCAGGATGTCCTCTCCTGCTTCTCCTGAGCTTCTTGGGAAGGAGGCAGAGTCCTCAGTGGGCACGTGGTTATCATCAGCCTGTCTCCAGCTCTCCAGCCCTTGAGTGAGATTCCTCCTCCCTCAGGCTACACACACAAGGTTGTGTTGCTCCAACGTGGTGGCTTTTGGTGGTAACTCCAGGGCCTGGGTCTCTCTGGGAGGACAAGATGCTCAACCACAAGAGGGTCTCTGGGAGGTCAGCAATGCCCTGAGGGGGGAACCCCTCTGCTGGGAGCCCAGCAGGAGAGAGTTGGGCTGGGGCAGCTGAGAGGAGAAGGCTCCAGCTGGGGAGACCCCCTGGGGGCTGCCAGAAACCTGGGGGGGGACTTCTTACAAGGGCTTGTAGTGATAGGGCAAGGTGTAATGGCTTCAAAGTGGAAGAGTGGAGATTTAGATGAGAAATGAAGAAGTTCTTCACTCTGAGGGTGGTGAGCCCCTGGAACAGGTTGTCCAGAGAAACTGTGGATGCCCCATCCCCAGAATTGTTGAAGACCAGGTTGGATGGAGCTCTGAGCAACCTGCTCTGGTGAGAGGTGTCCCTGCCCAGGGCAGGGGGTTGGAATGAGATGATCCTTAAGGTCCTTTCCCACCCAACCCACCCCATGATTCGGTGACTCTGTGTCCCAGTGAAGCTCCTCCAGCCTGATCCTCACACTGTGATGATGAGCTGTTAGCTCCTTTTCCTTGGAACCCAGTGATGAGTGTTCTCCCTGGCATTGCCCTTCCCCTTGTCTCCCTTCTCCATGTCTCCAGGCAATTCCCAGGATGTGGGAACATTGTGACCTTCTCCCAGTTCCTCTTCATCGCCGTGGAAGGCTTCATCTTCGAAGCCAACTTTGGGAGGAAGAAACCAGCCATACCACTGAGGTATGGACAACCTGGAGGCCTCTGCTTCCTGTGTTCATGCTCCCCTCCCTGCCACTCCATGGCTGAAGGGAGAAGGTTTTTTTGGGGGGGGGGTTCCTCAGCAGGCTGTGCAGGATGGGGCTGGGCTGAGGGCTGGGGACAGAGATCCTCCTGGCTGAGAAGTTGAGGGCAACTTCAGTGCCCTTCCTGGTGAGGAACTGCAGTTTGTGGAGGCTCCAGTGTGGGTGTGGAAGCATGGAGGTGCTCAGCCTGGCTTTGAAGAGTTTCTCCTTCCACTCAGGGGTACTTCTGCTGGCAGAAGTGGAATCCCCTCAAATCAAACCTTGTCCTGTGCCACTCTCCTTAGGAGAGAAAGGTCTGGAGAAGGTGTCTCAGCATCTCAAGCACCTGCACAGCCACCAGCTGGGGTTCTTTTTTTGTGTTCCAGGTACTATTTCATCATGGTGGCCATGTTCTTCACTGTCAGTGTGGTGAATAACTATGCCCTGAACTTAAATATTGCCATGCCACTGCACATGATCTTCAGATCAGTGAGTACTGTCCCACCCTCCTCTTCCTCTCCCTCCTCCTCAGCTCTGCAGCACAGTGTGTGCCCACCCTCTGTCCCCTGAGGGCATCCAAACCCTGGGCAAATGCTAAACTCTGGCTGAGGTGGGGAGAGGAGCCTGGTTGCAACCTCCTTGCCAAGCCACCTTCTGCCCTCCTCCCAGCTGAGATGAGACTCTCCCCACCCTCTGGGTCTCCTTCATCCTGCTCTGGTCTTTCTCTTGGTGTTTAGCCATCCGTGGTGCTGGGTTTGCAGCAAAGCTTGGGCAATTTTGTCCTGCTGACCTCCTGATTTGTGTTTCTCCTCCTCTCTCTCCTTTCCCAGGGCTCTCTCATAGCGAGCATGGCTCTTGGTATCATCATTCTGAAGAAAAGGTACCTCACAAAGCCTCTGGCATCATCTGAGAACACTTGGCCATGGACTTAACCCTGAGCAGAGTTCAGTGCTCTCCCCTCTGCTGTTAAATGTTCTTTTACTGATGGGGAAACTGAGGCACCGAGGGCTAGAGGGAGATCTTGGTCCAAGTGCTTCTTTTTTTGGGGTGCAGGTTGGAGGGAGTTGGCTTTTAGAGGTCCAGCATGAGGGGGTGGGCATGTGCCATGGGTTGTAGTGCTCACTCCCCCCCTCTCCTCTCCCCCCCCTGCAGATACAGCATTTTTAAGTACACCTCCATAGCCCTGGTGTCCTTGGGGATCTTCACCTGCACCTTCATGTCTGCAAAGCAAGTGGTAAGGACTGGAAAGGGCCTGAGGGGCTAACTGGGGACCTCCCTGCCAGGAGGAGCTGCTGCCAGCCCCTTCACCACTTCATTCCCTTTGCCTGAGTGCTGATGGAGAGACAAGGGGGCTCCTAGCTCTACATCTGCTCCCCAAAAATCTCTTCTTCCTGGGCTCCTTTTCCTGTGGTGTGGAGGGGAGGGGATGCACACACATGGGTGTGGTTTAACTGGGTGACAGGTGCCTTTTAACCCCTTCCAGCTGCTTTGTGCTGAGAGGAAACCAGCATTTTTTTGGGTTTTTTTTTGCCAGACCAGCTGTTTTCTCCAGCCCTTCCTGTGATGTGTTAAGAGCAGGTGAATCTTAGACAAAACTTCAGCCTTTGCCAAAGGAAATGATCAACTTTCAGGCTGGATTTTTCCAGACCTCTTGTCATCCAGTGTGACTTGTGACCCTTGAAATAAAGGGTGTGGATTTGGAGAATAAAGAGAGGGAAGAAAACCCACTTGTAGCACCACTTTGGGCCTCTCCTGGCTCAGCACCCCCAGCCTGAGACAGAAAAATGCCTCAAAGTGCTGGTCAAGTGAAAATTGGTGGCACTTAATGCAGCTCAGAGAGACTGGCAAGGAAACAGGGCTGTCAAACCTCCAAGCCCTCCATCATTTCACAGCTCTTTATACTCAGGGGCTCTGAGGAAGGTCTCTGCTGGGCAGCCTTGCTCTGTGTTCATCCAGATACACTCCCAGCAGGGCTGGGATTTTGGGGCAGTCTCAGAAAACTCTAATTTGTCCTAAACCCCAGTGAAATGGTTGAACCAAAACTTAGAGCTCCACCCCCAGCTGATGGCATCTACAGGCTTGGTTTCCTCAGTGTCTTCCCCACAGGATTGGTTTGGTGGATGAAGAGCTGGGAGTTTCACCAAGCCAGGGCACTTTTTTCAGAGAAGCTTCTTTCCTGATGAGATATTGACCTTTTTTTGGGTGGAATTTGATGTGTTCCCTGAGGCAGGGGGGGAAGCAACGTGGGCTGTGGTTGCTGCCACCTCTGGAGAAGGTCAGACCTTGGGTGGTGCTGGCTTTGGGGGGGTTGCTTGGAAGACAACACCCAAACCAAGAGTGAGGGAGGGGCAGGTCTGACGAGCTGCAGGGCTGTGCCAGCTCCTGGTGACTGTTGTCTCCCTCCACCAGGCATCTGACTCCAGCTTGAAGGAAGAGGATGGACTCCAGATTTTCTTCTGGTGGCTTCTAGGTGAGTGCCACCCCTCCAGCAGACCTCTCTGGGCTCTCTGGTGTCCTTGGCCACGTGGGTTGTGCAGAGCAGAGTGTGGTGGGAGTCCTTGGGCTGAGATTCAGCTGGGCTGAGGATCTGCTGGATGTTGGTTGAGCTTGGTGACTCTCAGGAGCAGATAACTTCATGTGGCCAGCAAGGGGTTTCTTAGTGACAGGGTAAGACTCCAGTCCTGCCTGTTGGCAGATTCCTTCTAGATTTCTCCTTCCAGAAGCTGCCCAACCTCATGTCCCTGATGCCACCAGATAGGCTCCAGAGAGGGAGAAGGGGCTGCAGCTGCTCCAGGGGTTTGTTCAGCACAGGATTTCTTGGAGGAGTCTCTCAAGTCTGGCACCTGAGTCTGTTTTTAAACCTCCAGCCTGGGCCTGTGGGTGTTTTCTCCTGGGAACCTGGGGTTGATGTCAGCAGTGGCCAATGACTCTGCCCCTGGCATCCCACCAAGGCAGCTTGCCAGGGCTGAGTCACTTCTGAGGAGATGTTCTCCAAAGTCTCCTGGCACCTCAACCTTCCCAATATACCCTTGTCATCAAGACCATCATCCATTTTCTCATCAAGCCTGCAAGTTTTGGGTTTTTTTTTCACTGTGAAAGCCAAACTGGGAATCCTGAGGCTGGCTGACTTGAGCTGTGCCATGCCTGAGCAGTGTTGCAAGACTGTGCTTCTGTTGCAGGTATTGCTGCCCTCACCTTCGCCCTCCTCATGTCTGCCAGGATGGGGATTTTCCAGGAGACACTGTACAAGCAGTTTGGGAAGCACTCCAAAGAGGCCCTTTTTTACAACGTGAGCCACCACCTCCCTTCTCTTGCCTTTTCCTAGGGAGGCAGAACTGCTGGTCTGGGCCAGCACTGGTGTGGCCAGCAGGAGCAGGGCAGGGATCGTCCCCCTGGGCTGGGCACTGGGGAGGCTGCCCCTCCAATCCTGGGGGCAGTTTTGGGCCCCTCCCTCCCAGAAGGCCCTTGAGGGGCTGGAGCGTGGCCAGAGAAGGGCAACGGAGCTGCTGGGGAAGGGTCTAGAGCCCAAGTGTGGGGAGGAGCAGCTGAGGGA